TTTATTGGGTGGTTGTTCTGCACGCTTAATAAACAAACTCCAGCTGGTCCAAAATGTAGCAGCTAGAGTTCTTACTAGAACCAGGAAGTATGACCATATTAGCCCGGTTCTGTCAACACTGCACTGGCTCCCTATTAAACATCGTATAGATTTTAAAATCTTGCTTATTACTTATAAAGCCCTGAATGGTTTAGCACCTCAGTATTTGAACGAGCTCTTTTTGATTATAGTCCTCCATGTCCACTGCGTTCTCAAAACTCAATTTGATAATACCTAGAATATCAAAATCAACTGCGGGTGGCAGATCCTTCTCCTTTTTAGCGCCCAAACTCTGGAATAGCCTACCTAACATTGTTCGGGAGACAGACACACTCTGTCAGTTTAAATCTAGATTAAAGACCCATCTCTTTAACCTGGCTTACACATAACACACTAACACATTTCTAATATTCGAATCTGTTAAATGATTTTTAGGCTGCATTAATTAGGACAACCGGAACCGGGAACACTTCTCATAACACCCGATGTACTTGCAACATCATTAGAAGAATGGCATCTACGCTAATATTAGTCTGTTTCTTTCTTATTCCGAGGTCACTGTAGCCACCAGATCCAGTCTGTATCCAGATCAGATGGTGGATCAGCACCTAGAGAGGACTTCTACAGCCCTGAATGTCAGCGGAGATCAGGACAACTAGATGAGCCACAAAGACAGATCCCCAGTGAGGACCTTGTCTCCTAGACAGCCACTGGGACAAGACCACATGAACCAGTTGAGTTCTCTGCACAAAGTGACATTGCTGCAGCCTGGAATTGAACTGCTAGTTTCATCTGGCCATAGGAGAACTGGCCCCCTGACTGAGCCTGGTTTCTCCCAAGTTTTTTTTCTCCATTCTGTCACCGATGGAGTTTTGGTTCCTTGCCGCTGTCGCCTCTGGCTTGCTTAGTTGGGGATACTTAATTTCCAGCGATATCGTGGACTTGATTGCACAGAATAGGAGAACTGGCCCCCTGACTGAGCCTGGTTTCTCCCAAGTTTTTTTTCTCCATTCTGTCACCGATGGAGTTTTGGTTCCTTGCCGCTGTCGCCTCTGGCTTGCTTAGTTGGGGATACTTAATTTCCAGTGATATTGTCGACTTGATTGCACAGAGACTATTTAAACTGAACTGAGCTGGATGATGACATCACTGAATTGAATGATGAACTGCCTTTAACTGAAAATTTAGTGTTTACTATTGTCATTTTGTATTATTGACACAATATTTTCCTAATTAATACTGTACAATTGCTTTGACACAATATGTATTGTTAAAAGTGCTATATAAATAAAGGTAAAAAAATAGAATAAAATAAAATAAATTATGTCAATTACCATTATAAATATATTTTAGATAATTATCCATCCATCCATTCATTCATTCATTCATTCTATAAAACGCCTGTTCTACAGTATTTAAGGTCAAGGGGACATAAGAAAATAAAATTAATTCATAAAACATTTAAAAAAACAAAGAATAATGATTTTATTGATGATATTAAAAGGGTCATATGATGCGATTTCAATTTTCCCTTTCTCTTTGGAGTGTTACAAGCTCTTGGTGCATAAAGAAGATCTGTAAAGTTGCAAAGACTAAAGTCTCAAATCCAAAAAGATATTCTTTATAAAAGTTAAGAGTCAACCACACCTACCTAAAACGGCTCGTTCTAACACGCCCCCACATGTCTACGTCACTGTGTGGGAAGATTTGCATAACGCCGCCCAAATGTTCATGCAAAGAAAGAAGGCGTAACTTTTATTCTCACTGTAGTATTGTTGCCGCCGCCGCCATGTTGTGGAGATGCACCGGGACACATGGAAACACAGTACGGTAAGGGGCGTAACATTTCCATCACACGCTTGAGGTATTCAGCCAATCACAACACACTGGATAGCTGGCCAATCACAGCACACCTCGCTTTTCAGAATGATGTGCTTTGTAAAAATCGACGCGTTTCAGAAAGACGGGGCATAGAGGAGAAACAATAATGTACATTATGTGGAAAATATATGACCCCTTTAATGATATATACTGTATATAATATATCCCAAAATTCAAATATATGTAACTATTTATTTTTAACTTTAACTTACCATATGCACAAAAATATGTGCATAAGTAAAAGAGAAATACTTCTACAGTAAACACACTTCTGATGACAGACAAGCAGGAATATAGGAGAACCAAAAATAAATGTTAATGTTTTATTTTAGCCATACTACCTGCTCTCTTTGCCCAAGCGGCACATCTACCGGTTGGTCATCGTTGACCTCTCTCTTTGGCCGCACAAACGTTGGAGGAGTGAGCTGATGTGCCTTCTTTAGATCCTCAGGCTCCACCCCCTTCCCATCCCGGAGCCGCCCCCAAGCCTCCTGATTGGCCTTATGCTCCTCTCTGGGCGGAGCTGAGGCCTGCTGATTTGGTAATGACCCTGGTTTGCTGTCCTTGTCTTTCTGTTCAGTGTGCTCTTTGTTGGCCTGGTGGGATCCATCAGTAGATCCGTCCCCGTTCTCGGCTATGACCTCTTCAGTCTCTGCCGCAGCCGCTGGGGCCGCCCGGTCCTTCAGACTGTCTTTAAATGCGGACACCACCACGCTGCACTTCTGCACCTTCTCCACCTGCTGCTTCTTGGACATCAGCACACCCATGGCTGCAATATAGTAACACAGCAGAAGCTATTTTCAACATGAGACATTATTATATCATATCAGGCAATGCAATCACTCACGGTGGTCTTTTCAGCAGGTTAAGCTTTAAATCCTACATTATATTAATAGAGTAAAGAGAGACAGTTCTCATTTTTGCTGCATCGGAGTTAGCACCCTGTTGCGTAACAAATATTAAGGTTGAAAACAAGACATGTTCTATCGACTTTGTCTCTAAATCATTGCTCTGGCAAAATACGCCCACATGCTGGATTAAGCAGATTTTGTGAACCACAGCAAATGTGCTGCAAATCACCTCGCTAGCGCTTTCTTCACACAGATCTCTCATATGATTGATCACTGGAAGGCTTGGTGTGTCTCGCATTGGTCTGCCGCCATCACAGATCATCAGTCTTAACCGTTTGAGCGGTACGGTCCGACATATGGGATTTAGAATGTTCAGTGTCGTCACATAACTGCCAAATTCAAACTGCTTTCGCACTTTGGCTGGCGATGAGACGTGCTCTGTACTTGTCATATAATTGCAGTGTTTTTAAGCACATAATGTTTATTTTAGGTTTCAGACATTTAATACACATAAGTCCTAGTAAAACAATACATTTAGAGTTTGTAAAATTTACACGGATGTCTATGGAAGCAGCAATAACAATCCATTCAAACATAATTTGCCGACATGTTTTATTCATATCAGATACACAGTGTAAGTAACTATAAAGTAACTAAATAGCTAATGAGTCATTCATTCAATCATTCATTCATTCGATTAAATTCGTTCAAATGGCTGATTTATTCAGGTATGAAGTAATTATGGCTCTCCTTATGAATGGGCCATTGAATCATTGGTTCACTAGATTTGTTCAAAACGTGGATTCATTCAGAAACTAATCACCTCTGTTGCTCAGAGACGCACAACAGTTCTGCAGTGGCTTTATAGGTAACATTTTCGTTGGCAAAATTTATCAAAAACAGTTGCCAATCAACTGTATATGAAATGTAATATGACCTACATAGGTCTGGGGCAGGTGCATTAATTGCGTTAAAATAATTAAAAATTAATTGAATGTACATATTTTACTATAATGTAAATTCCTTTTTCTGTTTCCATTTCAATTCAGATTCACACTCATTAATTGCAAGGGAGCCAATTCTCAAATTATTAACTTTTTCCAACCCTGTTCAAAACACATGAATGATGCACTAAAAAAGAATTTGAAGCATTTAGCTTGCTCCATTCCATTCTTGTGTTGGACATGAATTACAGAGTTCTGGCATGAAACTCTAGATGGCGCAGTCCGATAGGTCTAACACAATCTGACCTAATGACATCATTATCACATGGCACAGCTGATTGGTTCTCTCCTGTATCGGTAGCCAATAAGCTCACTGCTCAACATTCAAATATATGACTAGTGCTTGCAGTAGCAGTTGCAGCTTGCTTCAGAAACCCTCCACCTTCCCCAGCTCCACCTGTATAGGTCTGCTACGAGGGGATTTATGTATGCTATATGGGGGTTATTTCATGTATGTTATATTTGCAGCAGCAATATTTCTTACATGCTCACAGCAGCATGTTGTGGATGTATTGGCAGCAGCAGATCTATTCCACCAAGACCAAATACATGAACATTGTCATGTACATTACCATGCCAATCCCTCCGAGAGTTGTCATGACAGAACTGTGATTTAGCTTGTCCAAAGCAGACATCAGATAATCTTGAATGCTTGCTCCATCCATTCAGCCTTTAATCCGGGTAATGGTGTGAAACTGCTTCAGTTGGCATTCTCTCGCCTTCTAAATGCAAAGCACAGCATGCTTCTGAATTTCAATGGATATTTCCTTCCCTCGTTTATTCTTAACTATCAACCCAAGCTCTGACCCATCACGTTCTTCTCTGTACCCACCTAAACAAGCCACTCTGTAATATTGCATGTCCCTACAGGCAGCATCTGAGAATGAACTTTAATTATGAGGGAAATCAAGGAAGCGGTTCTGAGCCTCATCTCATCAAAGGTCTGGGAGTGACAGAGAGGTTTTTGCAGTAATTACCCCCGGCTGTATGATGTATTTTACCCTGTTCCAGCTCAGCGTGTTCTGATAGATGCCACATCAGCTGGCTGAGGGAGGTGTGGTTTAATGTCTTGTCACCAAACTAATTAATGTGTATCTTTTAGGCACAATCCCAAAGCTGACAGCAAACTGCATATATTTCTGTCTGAGTATAACATTACTTCTCTCTTAAGTCAATAAAAAGAAATTGGGGAAGCTACTTTAAAATTGTACCTTGTCAAACAAACAATTTAAGTTTCTAAATTACAGCCAGGCAACCGTTCAGAAAACAATCAGGATTCTCAAATAGGGTGACAGAATTAATCAATATTTAAACATATTTATTTACATCAGATACCACCAATAAAATTTGGAATTTGACTCTAATATTGTTTTGTAAAATTATTGTATGTATTAAATATCTTATTATTTTGTATACTGCTACAACAAAGAAAATGTGATGGATTAGCCCCAAAAGAATCTGTGATTTTTAAAATGCATTAATTATTATAATTTATTTATATACTGTATTTTGTTATTTTCTGATTTTCTGATTTAATACATGTTGTGGTCTTATTGTGTACATTTCATCAGTCTTCCCAGAATAATTCGTCATAATTTAATAACTTTCTCCATCTCTGAAACTGCTTTCCTTTTCGAAAGACATTACCAATGTATGGAAGCCTTTTCTGCCACAGAAAGATAATTGCGGCTTTTTATCTCACAATTCAGATTTTTTTTTAAGTCAATTAAAAATAAATAATGAAGTCATTTTCAACTGTTTTCTTGCAATTGTGAGTTTATCTTACAATTCAGACTTGCTATCACAAGTGATTTAGCTGGAATTTGACTCTAATATTGTTTGGTAAAATTATTGTATGTATTAAATATCTTATTATTTTGTATACTGCTACAACAAAGAAAATGTGATGGATTAGCCCCAAAAGAATCTGTGATTTTTAAAATGCATTAATTATTATAATTTATTTATATACTGTATTTTGTTATTTTCTGATTTTCTGATTTAATACATGTTGTGGTCTTATTGTGTACATTTCATCAGTCTTCCCAGAATAATTCGTCATAATTTAATAACTTTCTCCATCTCTGAAACTGCTTTCCTTTTCGAAAGACATTACCAATGTATGGAAGCCTTTTCTGCCACAGAAAGATAATTGCGGCTTTTTATCTCACAATTCAGATTTTTTTTTAAGTCAATTAAAAATAAATAATGAAGTCATTTTCAACTGTTTTCTTGCAATTGTGAGTTTATCTTACAATTCAGACTTTTCTTCTCAGAATTTAGTGTTTATATCTCGAAATTGTGAGATAATATCTCACGACTTTTTTTCTCAGAATTGCAAGTATATATCTCACAATTAAGCAAGATATAAACTCACAATAGCGAGAAAAGAAGTCAGAATTGTGAGATAAAAAGATAAAACTTTTTTTTTCATGGCAGAAACAAGCTTCTATACCAACATAAATATCGACTTTTCACAATCCAGTTCAAATGGATAAAACACTTTAAAACTGTAGCTTGTCAAACAGCTAATAAACTAATTTAATATTAAATATTGTAAACTAATATTTTTTAAGTAGCTAAAAACAATCAGGATTCCCATTTAGGAGGACAGAATAAAACAGCATTTTTAGTTGCATTTAACTTATTTCAATTTTGTTTTGTAAAATTTGTATTAAATATAACACAAAAATACAATAATCTTACTTTTCTAATGTAATCATCTTTATTTTTTATTCATCAGAAAACATGATCGGCATCAAATTAAGTGTTTTTTATTTATAATTTATTACATTTAATTTATTTATACATTTATTTATTTATTTTTTGTTTGTTTGTTTGATAACTCATTTATTTGGAACTGGTTCATTTACAGTAAATAAACTGAACTAACCGATTGACTAGAATCAGACTTCACAAACCTTCATATGTGGGTGTTTGAGAAAGGCCTGTGTGTTCAATTAATGTTACCAAAATATTGATGGTTGATATTACAAAAATGTTACACTGTTACAAAATAGTAAATAACAAATAGTCTCATTACACTACATGAAGCCTGGTCCACGTTGGCAGCTTATGCAATAAAACCAACAACAGGTTATTTTTGCTGATGCTCACAAGTGAATCTGAAATCATGCGTTCCCCTTTGGAAGCGCTCATTGCATCAGCCTGGGAAAGTGTAAACGCAATGTTGTTTCCCGGCAGACCTGCACACCCGATGAGCGGAAATTGCATAGAAGCCAGACAATCAGTTCATAGAGCTGGTGATTTCAGCAGGGAATATGCATCAGAACATATGTGTGCGTGAACACTCTGATGCTAGAACTGTGACACAGACGTAAAACTGTGACTATACAGTGATGGATGAAGAATCCTCAGAGACAGGAGACAGAGGAAGATGGAGGTCATCGCAGGTCTCCTCGAGGAGAATAAAAGATGAGAACCTCTCGGGCTACAGAGCCCCTGTAATAACGTCTGAGCCAGTCCCTTTGTGAAACCCTTATAAAAACTGACTTCTGGTTAGAAATCCCACTGCATCCCAACTCTAAGCACAGATTATAACATGTGCATTCCAGAGACGGCCGATACTTTCAGATGCAGGGGAAGCAATTACTGCCAAACAGAGAAATTACTCAATGGGAATAATGACTAGACTGAGTACTAGACTTTTTATGATTTTTTTTTTTTTGTCTTTTTCATTAATTATTCATTTTTATGTTCATAAATGATTTTAAAATGGATTTTTATGCTCTCTCTTTATAATGCCAATGTAAAGCACTTTCATTTATTAATGTGTATGCTATAAAAATATAGTGGCCAGGCCTACAGATAAAAGAAAAGATTCTGAACATTAAATTGATGTATTATGACTGACAAAAATACATCAGATTACAAAAATAAAATGGGAAGCAAAA